TTTGGACTGTGGGGTCTTACACCTCCCTGTAAATACAGACTGGCAAGTACAGTGGTACCTCTGGGTAAGAACTTAATTCGTTCCAGAGGTCTGTTCTTAACCTGAAACTGTTCTTAACCTGAGGTACCACTTTAGCTAATGGGGCCTCCTGCCGCAGCCGCACTGCCACCACGCAATTTCTGTTCTCATCCTGAAGCAAAGTTCTTAACCTGAGGTACTATTTCTGGGTTAGCGGAGTCTGTAACCTGAAGCATCTGTAACCTGAAGCGTCTGTAACCTGAAGCATCTGTAACCTGAGGTACCACTGTATCTGTTAAGTTGAACACACTATCAATATGCGTAAGAGATTCAGGAACCAAGTATTTACCATCTCCAAGGAATGGCCAGGCTACCCAGAAAAGGCAATTGATAAGGCATGATCAGGTATCCTGGCAGACAGGAGAGAAGCAACACACTCAAATTTCTGCTGGGGACCACCTCCTTTTGTGATGTATGTATGATGTTTTGCGGGGTGGTCTTCAGCTACAGGTGAGGCAATTTCAGATGTCTATATAAGAGCTTGGACACCAATGTTCTGGGTTCCTCTCCTCCCTCCCTGCGTGGGGTGAGCGGGGGACCCTGTTGCAACAGTTTAATAAAGATCAGGCTTACTAGCTGCTTTGCTTCTCAGTATTCTCTGGTTGGCCTCTGTTATTTTCTCCTACCTATAGAAAACCTACATAAGGACTCTATATGGGCTCTTAGATACCCCATAAGGGGGAAAGGAGCAGTTTTTTCTTATAACACATTGATTCCCCCCCAACCCACAAAGATTCCTGGGAATTGTAGTTTGTGAAGGGTGCCAAAACCTCTTAGGGTAACTGTTATGTACCAAAGTTCTCACCCTGGGCCAGCAGGAGGATACTATAGATAGTTCAGGTCCACATAGGCAAATAAGGGATCGAAAGTGAGGTTCAGTGATTGGATAGTTACAGAAAATGGTTACTGTTGCGTTGTACTGGAGCTCTATATAAGCAGGCTGGCTGAACCCTTCAGTTCAGTTCTGTTCTGGCCTGTGAATAAACAAGAGCTGTTTGAAGAATTGCTGTGTCGTCTGATATGTTCACCCACAACTTAACAGTAACTGCCGTTCCCTTCTCAGAGCTACTACTCTTAGTGTGGTTTATCAGTTCTCTCCTCTTCCCCCCTTTTTTTATTTATTATTAATGTTGCAATACATATATGAAATCTTTACATAGTGATACATATACATTATATTCGTAAATTCACATTTCCACATTTCATTATGTACCAACATTTATCCATTTCTTATTTCTTGCCCTGTGTCTTCCCTCCACCCGTGCGTGACTTCCTTGTGATTGTTTTATAACTTTATTATTGAGATTGTACTTTCGTATCTTAATTATTAAACGTTCAGTCTTATACTGTATATCTGCTTAGCTTAGCTTAACTTTGGGAAATCAGTCTATACATATCAATAAATTCTTGATGGGGCATGTTTTGGTCATGTATTCTTCTATGCATTTCCATTCCTTTTTGAGATTTTGATTAGATTGCATTCTAATCGTTGCCGTCATTTTGGCTAATTCAGTCATTAAAAAAAAAAATTAGGTTGCCAATCTTTCAATGTTGGTACAGTTCTTGTGCCCAAAATACCCTGGGAATTGCAGAGCTCCAGCACGAATGAGGGCCCTCTAAAACAGCAGCCAGCACCCTTAACAAACTACGCTTCATGACAGTTTTAAAGAGGGATCATTAAACGGGATGGGTGAGGGTTTCTCAAATGTGGAGCCAGGCAGACATCTAGCGGTCATTTTTGGGTACCGCAAGATGGAGAGAATGGCCAGGATCTTCTGCGTCGAAAAGAGGTGCTCTAACACCGAAATAGAGCCCTTCCCTTAAAAACGATGCCTCCTTTTCCTTGCTCACCTGTGTGGGGTGTTCTGTCCTGGCCCACCCCCCAGATTTGGTGGCGGAGTGGGCATTTTGGGATGAGTTCTTCTCCCGCATGCAGAAGACTCCCGCATGTTACTAGTATTATTACTACTAACATTATTACTGCGGTTATTGCTGTTATCACTATCATTACTACTATTGTTACTATGGCTGCAATTATAATGATGGCGATAATTTTATTGCTGTTATTTTACCTTACCTGCAAGGAGGAGCACTGCTCTCTCACTTCCCATTTTATTCTCACAACACACCTGTGAGGTAGGTTAGACTGAGAGGTAGCAAGTAGCTCGGGGTCACAGCTTCATGGCTAAGTGGGAGTTTGAACCCTACTCTTCCCGGTCCTAGTCCAACACTCTAACTACCACACCATAGTGGTTCTCACACCATACATGTGTGTGTGTGATTTGTGGGAAGGGGTAGAGTAAGAGGAAAGAAGCTAAGAGCAGTACCAGTCAGACAAGCCCAATTGTTAGTTGTTGTTTTTTAAATAGTAAATTTTATTAGTATTTTCCACACAACAACAACAACAACAACAAAGAAAAATAACAAAACACAAAACACAAAAACAAGCATATTAAAAAACAAAACAAATCCAAATTTTACAAATTAATAATATAAACACTAAAAAGCAAAACAAACATTGATCTCCACCAGTCCCACGGCACCTCCTTTACCTCTCATTGTGCCTTCCAGTTTTCCTTATCATCTCTATCCTAACATCTAGCTATAAATCCCTCTTTCTTCTCCTTTCACTTCACAAGGTTATTCCAGACTCAGCCAGATTTCTGTCCTCGAACCTTGGCTTTTAAGGTATTCATTTAGGCACTCCCATTCCTTTCTCACTTCACTTTTTGGTTTTTGTCTTATTATATCTGTCAATTGGGCTAATTCTAAATATTCTGAAAGCATACATAACTATTCTCTCCTAGTTTTTTTAGTTTTCAGATGGATCAAAGGCATCCATTCTGATTCTAGGAAGTATGTAGGGTGTTCTATCCTGGCACCCTGCTCCCCCTAATTTTTGGAGAGGTGTTGGGTGTTTGCATCCAGAGATCTAAATCTGCAATGTACTCAGCTGGTGATAATCAACAGGGCCTTCTCAGTGGTGGCTCCCCATTTGTGAATTGCCCTCCTTGGTGAGATGCGCTTGTCTCTCTCATTACTGACTTTCAGGAGGAATTTGTAAACCTTCCTGTATATGCAGGCATTTGATGGCTGGAAGATATCATTCCTGGCAGCTGTAGTTCCCTCTTTATAGAACATTTTTTATTTAAAAAAATGCTTTTAAAAAGTGCTATTATTGATACGTTTGCAACCCTGGACTCCTTTGGAAAGGCAGGATATAAATTGAATCAATAAAACAATAATTCACGGAGGGCCTTATTTGCCTGATGAAATGCTTCTTGCTGACCATCGACAAATATCCTGGAGGGAGGAATCTAAACCACTATCCGTCTGACTCGAGCAGCAATTTTTCTTTTCTTTTCTTTTCCAATGCCCTGGATTTGAACTGACTCCCTGGGAGCAAACTGCTCTCCACCCTGCAGAGCTGGCCAGCTGCTTCCCTGTCCCCAGGCAGGAGAACGCAAGAGAGCAGCGTCTGTTTGGGTTTGCAAACATCAGCAGGAAACCTGCACTGATTCAGCTGGATGAAGTGGCAGACGATGAGGACAGGAGGCCACAGATTGGAGGGGTTTCTTTGTGCATCCTGTTTCAGGTCAGGCTGGGAAATGGCCGGGTAGTGGGATGAAGATGGAGAGGAAGGCGACAGATGCCACAGAGGAGATTGTTTTCTGAAAGCTGTGAAGATTTCCAAAATCTGTCCCTGGATATAAGAGTTTTGGATTAACTTCTCATTTTTTCTTCAGCATGCAGTTTGTCAAAATTGGGATCTTGGAAGGGTAATCTTACAGGGCAGGAACATGACTGGGGGTCTGTGGTTGTTATTTTCCCAGAATGCCTCTGGGTCAGGGCCCAGAGGCATTATGGGGTAGTGAAGGTGGTGGTAGCTGTGGCCATCTTCCCAAGCACTTCTCCTTTTTCCCTGAGCTCTGAATAAAGGAGGGTCTGCTTTGGAGCCTGCTCAGTTTGGCTATGCTATGAAGTCCCCGCTTTGGGGCTTCCAAGCACCAAATCACCTAAGGTAATTTGCAACACCTGCTGATTGGCAGGTGTGGAAAGGCCACCCACCAGTCAAATTTGGTCCGTGAGGCAGGATCTGATAGTTATTATTATTATTATTAAGCAACTACTCTATTCCAAACCTAAAAATGGAAAGCGTAATGCTGGTGGTCAACAAAAGAGGTTTAAAGACTGTCTCAAGGCAAATCTTTAAAAATAATAATAATAATAATAATAATAATAATTTATTATTTATACCCCGCCCATCTGGCTGGGCTTCCCCGGCCACTCTGGGCGGCTTCCAAAAAAATATTAAAATACTATAATACATCAAACATTAAAAGCTTCCCGAAACAGGGCTGTATAAACACTGAAAACTGGGAAACACTTGCCTACGAGCGCTCCAGTTGGAGAACAGCCTTTACCAAAGGTGTCATGGGCTTTGAAGACACTCGAACTCAGGACGCAAGGGAGAAATGTGCTAAGAGGAAGGCACGCTGGGCAAATCCACACCGTGATCAGCTCCCGCCCAGAAACTAATGTCCCCACTGTGGAAGGACATGTGGATCCATAATTGGCTTCCACGGTAACGATAACAGTAACGATAACAACGATAATGGTAACGATAACAACGATACTGATACCGTTATCGTTACCGTTACCGTTATCGTTGTTATCGAAAGTGCTCACAGGCCAGTGTTCCCCACTTGTCAGTGTTTATACTACATTTTTTTTAGATTTGCCTTGAGACAGTCTTTAAACCTCTTTTGTTGACCACCAGCATTACGCTTTCCATTTTTAAGTTTGGAATAGAGTAGTTCCTTTGTGAAGGAAACGATAACAATAACAGTAACAAAAATAACAATAACAAAGATAACGCTAACAGTGACGATAACGATAACAGACGATACCGATAACAACGATAAAGGTGCCGATAACGATACCAGTGACGATAATGATAACAACGATAACGATAACAACGATATTGGTAACGATAACAACGATAACGATACCGTTGTTATCGTTATCATTGTTATCGTTATCGTCACTGTTATCGTTATCTTTGTTACTGTTACTGTTATCGTTATCATTTCCTTCACAAATCCTGTCTAACGGGCACATTTAAGATATGAATAGGGTGTGAGGCTGTGACCTAGCTCAGGAACTAAGTATTTATAATTACAAAAGACTGGCCAGGCTCCCCAGGCAATCCAATCACGTGACCATTAAACAGGTAACCTGGCAGACAGGAGGTAAACAAAGCACTCAGATTTCTGCTGTAGACCGCCTTTTCTGTGATGTAGGTATGTGGGTGGAGGTCTTGAGCTCCGCCCCTTCTGTGATGTATGTATGATGTATGGAGGGGTGGTCTTGAGTTCCAGGGCAGGGAATTTAAAATGTCTATATAAGGCCTTGCGCGCCACTGTTCTGGGTTCCTCCTCCCTCCTGCGTGTGGTGAGTGAGAACCCTGTTGCAACAGTTTAATAAAGATCAGGCTTACTAGCTGCTTTGCTTCTCAATATTCTCTGGTTGGCCTCTGTTATTTTCTCCTACCAATAGGGAACCTACGTAAGGACTCTATATGGGCTCCTGGATAACCCATAAGCGGAAAATGTCCCCCGCGTCCCACCCCGGCCAGAGAGTGATGCTAATGAGTTGACTCCTTTGAGAATCTGCCATTCTGCAAGTAGGCAGAGCCTAGGAGAGGTAGGCAGGGGCCAAGGCTGCTTAAAAGGCCTCGATTCACTTCCAGCCCTTTTTGGAGTAAGCTGCTTGGTGCCGGAGAGGCTGTGATTGAGTTCCCATGCACTTAACAGCAGGAATCAACAGGGCGACATCATGGAATTGCAGAGTTTGTAGGGACTCCAACGGACATCTATTCCAAACCTCTGCAAAGCAGAAATCGCAGCTTTGCCCGCAGCCCCCTGGGAGTAACACCATTGCCTGCTTGGGTCTGCGCAACGAGTCACTGTTGAAGAAGAAGAAGAGTTTGGATTTGATATCCCGCTTTATCACTACCCGAAGGAGTCTCAAAGCAGCTAACATTCTCCTTTCCCTTCCTCCCCCACAACAAACACTCTGTGAGGTGAGTGGGGCTGAGAGACTTCAGAGAAGTGTGACTGGCCCAAGGTCACCCAGCAGCTGCATGTGGAGGAGCGGGGAAGCGAACCCGGTTCACCAGATTACGAGACTACCGCTCTTAACCACTACACCACACTGGCTCAGCTGCACAGCTGCACAGCCTAGCTGAAAAGCTGGCAACCTTTCTTCACCATCGATTGATTTCTACCTTTTGTCTCGCTTCCAGCTCTTAGGTCCATGTGACCACAAGTGGCGAATGGACACCAGCAAGAGACAAAAGACAGGAAGAGACAGACCCTAATTTGGGTGGGTGGGGGATATGTGCTGTGTGTTAAATCAGTTTCACAACCTGGTGCGTTGCTCTTCCATTGCACTTTTTCTCTGTTGGAACTCAGTTCCGGCCCCTCTCCAGCAGGCTCCATTGCCGTTGTAAGGGAGGCATTCACAGTGAGTTCTGGCACCTCGTTTTCTAGAAAAACAGCGCTGCTTTTCCAAGCCCCCTGCCAAATATGTTGAATAATGGCAAATGGCGGGCTTTGACCAGTTGTTCCAGGCGACACGTAGAGAAGAATTTATGGAATTGTGCAGGGAGCTCGTTCATCTGGCAAGTAACTGCTGTCACAAAAGCTCTTGCTGTTTGTGGTTTTCTGCCTCTGCTGCAGCTGTTAGGTGGTCCTTGTGGGTGGAGTGGGGGGAGGTCAGTTTGGTTCTGTTCGCACCTCCCAAAACAATGTGAACCAGAATGCAGGTACCCTTCCAAATTCACTCCTTCCTTCCTGCCTGCCTGCCTGCAGCATAGCTCTCCAAATAAAGACTGTGCAGGAAAATGTATATATTAGGGGAGGATGTGTATATATGATTTTAAAAATGCATTGTATTGGGAAATTGCACCTCTCTCTCTCTCTGTGCTGGTCCCGGGGGGGGGGGGGTTACCGTGAGGCGTGGTCAGAGTCCGGTCCTGGGCTGAGAGTCTGGAGACTGTCCACCAAGGGGGAAGCGGGGTCCAAAGCAAGAAGTCGGGCGTGGTCGGGAACTCCAGAAAAACAGGTCTAGGTGCTGGCAGAAACAGGTTTCCAACGTCGTTGCTCCCGCAACCTGGGACTGGGCTGACTGGCCTTTATCTCCTCTGGGGCCTAGGGCGGTCCCGGCCCACAGGTGACTCGCCTCTCCTGGCCTTAAGGCGAGCACTCCTCCTGAGAGAACTTAGTTCCCTCCGCCTCCAGCTCAGGAGAGGCTGGAGGGTTACTGGACCCAGAGGCAGCCTCACCTTCTCCTGACAGAGCTGGGAGAGGAGTACCTGCAGGCAATGGGTCCTCAATCACCTCAATCACCTCCGGAGCCAGAGTGGATTCATCTGGTGTCTGCTCCTGAGGATCCGGCACAGGTGCAGGCCCTTCAGATTCAAGCCCCTGCCCCGGCTCAGCCAGCCCTGGAGGCGGGGACTCCTGTGCAGGCTGGGACTCCTCCGGTTCAGCCTCTGAATCAGATTCCCAGGCCATCACACTCTCCCACACACACCACACCACACACACACACACACACACACACACACCAACCCTGTCCACTCTGCTCCTTTACACCTCAACCGCCCACTCCCCTATTCCCTCGCAGCTCACCCCAAGCCCTTTTAAAGAAGTGCCTCCACCTGGCTGTAGCTGCGTTTAACAGGGGGAAGCACATTCTAAACCATTCTGCGAAGCACCTCCACCCACTGCCAGTAAACAGTTCACCTGAGCCACATGCCCCCCACACTGCTTGCTCACGCACTTGCCTGTTTGCCCCCTATTGGTGACCATGCAAACTGCAGTGTGACGACAGCATTGCCTTTTTATGTATAGAGGAGGATATATATATTGGAGAAAATTGCATACAAAAATATTTACATTAAGAAGCTAGGTAACTTCCCTGAACTGTCAAGCCGAAAGGGTACATTTATGCATAATACTGTAACCTTTAACAACTTTAAAGATGTGCCCCCCCCCCCGTAATTTCCGTAACACACATCAGCCTCAAAAACCAGCACAGGCCAAGCTGCAACAGTGAAGGTTTGCTGGCTGCTGAGCCTTTGCAACAGCAAAAGCTTAACCTGTTGAACTGGTGCTTGCCACACACAGCTGAGGCAAGCAATGCGCTGCCCTCCCAGGCTGCGTGGACCCCCTGCACTCGGCTTATATTATCCGAAAACTAATTTTACAAAGCACCTCCGGGCTTTTCTCTTCGTGAGAGAATTGCCTGGTCCTTGGGGAGGAAGGAAAGGGAAAATAAACACAAAACCTTCTCTTTAGCCCCCTCCTTCTCCACTCCACGGGAACCCAGTTCTGTCTGATTGCTGGGTGCCAAAGGGCCCCTGATCTTCTCAGTCTGCCGCTCCTTTCCATGGAAGTCAGCAGAATTTCATCCCCAATGTGAGGGCCCCAGTGTTTCATATTTAAAAACCTTTTCCCCAGCCAACATTAATTCTGACCTCTCCTCCCCCACCTGCCTGACCTTATATGCAGAACGGCAAAGCCTTGGTTATTAAAGTCCCAAAAGCTAGAATTTCTCATAAGACACCGCTTGATCAATTTGTGTTCTAGCCTAGCTTCTTCTTCTTTTTTATATAAAAAAAATCCCCCTCCCTTTTTTCATTTTCCAAATGCAGGGCCCCCAAGGAGCTCTGGGAGGAAGAGGGCCGAGGGGGCAGGGGGAGAAATGTGCTTATTAAAATGCAAATCAGCTGGAAATTAAACTTTCAAAAAATGTATCTTGCTGCCCTCCCCACCCCTCTTTCTGCCAATTGCATCAGGAATCTGCAATGTGAATAAAAAAGCCTTAAGTTTGGAGTGTTACATTTTTGTTTGGTTTGTGCAAAATCGGGGTACAAATCCCAGGCCTGGGTTTTTCAATATTTGGGGCTTTTTAACTTGGGCAGGGGAGTAAGAGGGAACAGGACTGGGGTGCATGTGAATATTCTTGGAGAAAGCAGAGAGAGAGAGAGATAGATCTTTTTCTCCCTCTCTCATAACACCAGAATTCTCATGGACCTCAAATGAAGCTGAATGTTGGAAGATTTGGGACAGATCAAAGGAATGACTTTTTTTTAATGCCGTTCAGTGTTAAACTCTGGAACTTGCTGCCACAGGAGGCAGTAACAGGCACCAACTTGGGTGGCTTCGCAAGAGAATTAAGACACATCCAAGGAGGAGAAGTCTGTCTATGGTTGCTAAACCTGATGGCTATCCCTTGCTGGTGGCAATATGTCTCTGAATACCAGTTTCTGGAAACCAAAGGAGGGGAGAGTGTTCTTCTGCTCAGGTCCTGGTTGTGGGCTTCCTAATAAGGCATCTGAATGGCCACTTTGAGAACAGAAGGCAAGACTGGGTGGACCTTGGCCTGATCCAGCTACCTCACTCATCATCTTCATTGGTGATCACTTGTAGCCGAGTAAGATTGTCTTCTGTTATGTACTGAAGTTCTCACCCTGGGCCAGCAGGGGGATACTGTAGATAGTTATGCAAATGAAGGATCGAAAGTGACGTTCAGTGATTGGATAGTTTTAGAAAATGGCAACAGTTACATTTTTCTGGAGCTCTATATAAGCAGGCTGACTGAGCTCCTCAGTTAGTTCTGTTCCAGCTTACAAATAAAGAGCTGCTTTGGAAGAATCGCTGTGTCGTCTGATATGTTCGCCCACAACTTAACATCTTCCACAAACACGGTTTTAAGAATTGAGTCTGTAAGTGACTGTGGAGGCCAATTCTGGATCCACACGTCCTTCCACAGTGGGGACATTGGTTTCCGGGCGGGAGTTGATCATGGTGTGGATTTGCCAAGCGTGCCTTCCTCTTAGCACGTTTCTCCCTTGCATCCTGAGTTCAAGCATCTTCAAAGTCCAAGACACCTTTGGTAAAGGCTGTTCTCCAATTGGAGCCCTCACAGGCCAGTGTTTCCCAGTTTTCGGTGTTCAGACCACATTTTTTTTAGATTTGCCTTGAGAGTGTCTTT